TGTTAGTCAGGCTGGTCTTGAACTCCCGACCTCAGGTGATCCGCCCACCTTGGCCTCCAAACTGCTTGGATTACAGGCGTGAGCCACCACACCCGGCCTCTTTCATTGCTTTTCTTTCTTTTTTTTGAGATAGAGTCCCACTCTGTCGCTCAGGCTAGAGTACGGTGGTGCGATCTTAGCTCACTGCAACCTCCATCTCCTGGGTTCAAGCGATTCCCTTGCCTCACCCTCCCGAGTACCTGGGATTACAGGAGCACCAAAACACCTCACTAATTTTTGTATTTTTAGTAGAGACAGGGTTTCACCATGTTGGCTCAGGTGATCTGCCTGCTTCGGCCTCCCAAAGTGCTGGGAAAACAGGCATGAGCCACGGTCCCTGGACTCTGACTAGATGTTTCTAACTGATTTCCTCTCCCTGCAGTTCCAGACCTAAGTGCATTTCAGTGTGTGGGTGCCAAGGTGTTTCCTGACAGGACATACCTAGCTCAGAGGAGGACGGTGGCCCCTGAGCCCATGGAGGAGGAAGGGGCTGCTGTCTTAGAGTCTCGGGAAGGGCAGGGAGAGACCCTGCTATGTGGACCATGCATGGATCAGTACTCACGACAGAAGTCGGGCCGCCTCCACTCGTCGAGCTGGGCCCCAGCGGCCTGACAGGCTGCCACGTAGGCGGCCACTGCAGGACAGAGGCCTCCAGGATGGCCCTGAGCTTGGCAGGCGTCCAGCAAGCAGCCCTGGAAGTATTGCGCGGGCGGCACGAGGCCGTGGCAGGGCGCCAGTGGGCCGTCGGTGGCCGAGATCACGCCGCAGGCGTCCGTGCCGCCGAAGGCCTCCTGCTGCTCCGGCGTGCAAGGCTGTGGGCAAGGCCCTGACACACATTCCCCGCAGCCAGGGGCGCCGCCCACCTGCCACCCGGCCGGGTTCCCGCCCACCGCCTTCAGGTCGTCTGCGGGGTTCTGGTTGTAGTTCCCACACAGGCCACAGAGGGAGCCCGCGTACGCCGCCGGCACGCGCAGGCGCACGAAGCTGTTCCCGTCGAAAGCCAGCGAGAGCCCTGAGGTCGCGGTCACCACCACGTCGGCGCCGCTCAGGTGTGCCTGCAGGAGCGAGTCCAGCTGGAAGGGCAGCGCCACGAACTCGCCGTCCACCTGCGGGCGGGGATTGGGGGTGCGATGAGCGCAGCGAACACAGGTTTGAATCTTGGCCTCACCACGTACTAGCTGTGGGACCCTGAGCACGTCACCTCCCCTCTTAAAATAATAAGCAGCATCTTTAGGCCGGGCCTGATGGCACAGCCTGCAATCCCAGCACTTGGGAGGCCGACTTGGGAGGATCGCGTGAGGTCAGAAGTTCAGACCAGCCTGGGCAACATAGTGAGACCCCCAACTCTACAAAAAAAAAAAAATTAATAATTAGCCATCGTAGTGGCGTTTGCCATTAGTCCTGCCCAGCCACTCGGGAGGCCAAGGCAAAAGCGAGAATCACTTGAGCCCAGGAGTTGCAGGCTGCAGTGAGCCCTGATCCTGTCACTGCACTCCAGCCTAAACGACAGAGTAAGGCCAAGAAAACTAGAAAGGAAGAAACGCCCCGGCGCGATGGTTCACGGTGTTATTCCAGCACTTTGGGAGGTCGAGGCAGGTGGATCACGAGGTCAAGAGTTCGAGACCACTCTGGCCAAAACGGTGAAACCCCGTCTCTACTAAAAATACAAAAAAGTTTACTGGGCTTGGTGGCATGCGCCTGGAATCCCAGCTACTCCGGAGGTGAGGCAGGACAGCTGCTTTAACCTGGGAGGCAGAGGTTGTAGTGAGCCAGCGAGATTGCGCCATTGCACACCAGCCTGGATGACAGGGTAAGACTCCGTCGCAAAAAAATTTTTAAAAAGCCTCTATAGGCACACGTGACCGACTCCTCATGCTTCTCTAAAACAGGCACTTTTCTTAGACCATTTTACAGAGGAATCCACTAGGCTCAGAGAGGAAGAAGCCACTGTGCCAGGCCATCAGGTTCCATGGCCTATACTCGGAACCCTTCCATCATGCCCCCGCCAAGCTGTGAAAGGTGCTCAGGGGAATGGGGAACCCCTTGCCATCTCAGGCAGCCGCAGAGCTGGCACCTGCTCCTGCCTGGCCCACAGCCCTCCTCACCTGTAGCTGCCGGGGCCAGCGGGCACTCAGTGTCAGGCTGTGGTTGTAGATGTGCAGGGTGACGCTGCGGGTGTAGCTGACAGCCTGGCTGCCCCGGTGCTCGTTGGCTACAGTGACAGTGAAGTTCTCAGCCCCCGTGGGTAGTGCGTGGCAGGGTGCGCTCAGCAGGTACTCGCACGTGCCTTGGAAATCGAATCGGTGCCCATCCAGAGTGACGTAATGGGGGTCACCCCAGGCCTGGCACTCAGCTGTGCTGACAGGCTGGCAGCCGTACTGGCCGGATGGCAGGAGGGCACACGCTTCGCCCAGCCCGCAGCTGGCGGGCGTGCAGACCAGTGAGCCGCCCCCAGGCCCACAGCGGCACCTCTGGGAGCACGTGCCGTCAGCCCAAAACTCAGTGCCCGCCTCGTGGTAGGTGCCGTTGGCCCAGCAGCCGCAGCCGTTGCTGAGGGGAACACAGCGGTCAGCACTTAGCACGAACCCTGCGTTGCACTGGCAGCCCTCCACACAGGGGCCCTGGCATACGGCTGGGGTGGTGGGGGGCGCAGGGGACGGGCAGCTGGCCGGGCAGGGTGGGCCACAGAACTCGTAGTGGCTGTTTTCTGGGCAGGTGATCGCTGTGGGCAGATGAAGGAGCAGGAAGAAGAGAAACAGAGAGAAGGGTGTTAGGGGTCCCAGGACACGGTGGCAGGAGACAGAGAGAGACACAAGGGAGCAGACACAGAAAGGGGAGACAGAGCAGCAGACACAGAGAGACAGAGAAGGACACAGAAAGGAGTGAGAGAAAGAGAGACCAGGAGACCCAAGCAGAAATTGAGGGAGACACCGAGAGAATGAGAAACAGACAGAAACAAGCAGAGAGAGGCACAGAGACAAGCACCGAGAGACAGAGACAAACAGGGAGAGGCACAAACGCAGAGACTCAGAAGGACCAGAGTGAAAGCAAACCAGCCCCCCAGAGACAGGGCCCCGCCCCCATCCCCGCCTCTGCTCCCCAACACTCACCACAGCCAACCTGTGCCCGCCAGTCTTCAATGACAATCCCAGCGGCCTGGCAGGCGGCCGCATAGGAAGCCAGCGCCTGGCAGAGAATGTCGTGGGCCCCGCCGCCCATGCAGACGTCCAGAACGCAGCCCTTGAAGAAGCTCTCAGGTGGCACATGAGCGTGGCAGGTGGTGAAGGGGCCCCCTGTGCCAGGGGCCAGGGGTCCACAGAAGCCAGGGCCCTCGTACTGCTCCAGCTTGTCCTGGGGGCACGTTGGGCAGGACCCCTGACATTCGTCCCAACACAGTGGGTCCCAGCCTGGGGCTCGCCAGCTGCCGCCCCAGACGGGTATGGAGGGAGCCAGGGTGCCATTGGGGAAGACCTGGTCGTTGTTGGGGTTGCGGTCCATGTTACCGCAGAGCCCGCACACCGCGCCATGATAGCTGCTGGGCAGCGTCACATCTACCCGCCAGTTCCAGTCATAGCTGACTTGCAGCCCAAAGTCGGCCACCAGCAATGCCTTGGATGCACCGTGGGTCACTGAAATGCGCCCGTCAGCCACAGAGACAGGCAAGGCTGTCAGCACACCGTTCACCTTCGGGGAGCAGGGAAGGAGACAAACGGGTCACTCCACGTGGGGAGGCCCCAGCTCTGGCCCCCTGCCTCCCTCTCTCTCATCCCACCAGGGGCTGGGAGAGGCCAGTCTTCCTCCGACAGGTGGATTGTCATCTGACACAGTGTGGACGTTTGTTCTAGCCCAGGTCTTGGGGAATGAAACCTCACTTCACTTTTTCTACATCTTCTCCCCTGATGGCTGTCTTCCTCCCCCGTCTCTGTCTCTCTGTGTCTCTCGCCCTCTGTCTTCACCTAAGCCTGTATCTCTGGGTCTTCTGTCCCTCTCTCTCTCTGTCTGTTTCTCTGTCTCTCCCTCCTCTTCCCTGCCTCCGTCACTCTCTGTGTGTCTTATTCACTCACCATCATTTACCCAGTGCTGACTCTGTTCCACCCCTGACTCTGTCCCTGAGCTGCCATTAAGCTACGTCACCAGTTTCCGGGGCAGAAAGGATTGCCCATCTTTCTCCCCCGATCTCCCGGTATTACTCTGTCTTTTTTTTTTTTTTTTGAGACGGAGTCTTACTCTGTCTCGCAGGCGGAGTGCAGTGTGGCAGTCTCGACTCTTGCAACCTCTGCCTCCTGGGTTCAAGTGATTCTCCTGCCTCAGCCTCCCGAGTAGCTGGGACTACAGAACACCACCACACCCGGCCAATTTTTCTATTTTTAGTAGAGACGGGGTTTCACCCTGTTGTCCCGGCTGGTCTGGAACTCCTGACCTCAGGTGATACACCCACCTCAGCCTCCCAGAGTGCTGGGATTACAGGCGTGAGCCACCCTGACCAGCCCTATTTCTGTGTATTTCTCTCTGAGTCCTGGTCTCTGGGCCTCAATTGTTCCCTCACTGACCCTCAAATAAGGGTTCTCCTGGGCTAGATCCCTGAGGATCTCCCTGTTTTTCTCTTCATGTCCTGGTCTCCGGGCCTCTCCCTTGTTCCCTTGCAGACACTCAAAGGAGTGTTCTCCTGAGCTAGACCCTGAGCTCAGCATGTGACGGGCACCACCTTGCTGTGGGGCGGGCCCTGCTACCATGCCCACTTGACAGATGGCGAAACTGAGGCCTCCCAAGTGAATTGCCCAACATCACACAGCTCTTATAAAGGAGAGGCTGGATTCAAACCCAAGTCTATGAAAAAGCCAGATGCTGAGGTCCTGAGTGAAAGCCCTCAGCAAGGGGCCAGGCTTGTTTAATTCCCAATCACAGGGGGATATTTTTGCTGTAATGATTGTTGTTCTTACTGACATTTTGTTTCAGGCCCAGGCCCTTTGACGACAAAGAGCCTTGAGCTCCTAACTGTGGTGGTCGGGATCCCTCCGGCCCTCCCGGGGACCTCAGGGGACCGTCCTGCCACACATACCCGGACTTTGCCGATCTCGTCCTTGTGGATAGAGACGTTGTGGCCGAGCGCAGCCACAGTGACGAGTCTCACATAGGACACGGCAGGGTTGCCCCGGTTCTCATTCTTGGTGGTGACGATGAAGGGTGTCAGGCCCTGGGTGCTGACCCCCGGGCAGCCAGCTGCCACCAGCACGTAGCTGCAGGTGCCCTGGAAGTCGAACTTGCGGCCGTCGAAGGAGTGGTAGTGTGGGTCGCCCCACAGCCAGCACGTGGCCTCGTAGTTGGGCACGCACACGCCCTGGCCGCCCTGCTCCTTGCATGTCTCCTCTGGCCGGCATGTCACACCGTGGCACGGGTCTGGGGACAGAGGAGGTGGACCTTGAAAGCCTGTCCATTGTAAAGGACAGCTGCTCCCTCCACATCTACCCCGCACTGTGCCAGGGATCTGAGGGTTTTCACAGGCAAGACCAGACTCCAGAGTCCTCTTATCTATACAGGTCCTGTACTTGGCTGTTCTGTTTTGTTTTGTTTTGTTTTAGATGCAGTCTCACTCTTGTTGCCCATGCTGGAGTGCAGTGGCGCATTCTCGGCTCACTGCAACTTCTGCCTCCCAGGCTCAAGTGATTCTCCCACCTGAGCCTCCCAAGTAGCGGGGATTACAGGCATGTGCCACCAGGCCCAGCTAATTTTTTATTTTTAGTACACGTGGGGTTTCTCCATGTTGGTCAGGCTGGTCTCTAACTCCCAACCTCAGGTCATTCGCCCACCTGGTCCTCCCAAAGTGCTGGGATTACAGGCATGAGCCACTGTGCCCAGCCCTGTTCTGGTATTCTAGTCTTATAGGAGCCTCGCCTCTTCACTTCATAGTCTATGGCTGATTTCATGCCACGATGGCAGGGCGAGTAGCTGGGACCAAGACCGTACAGCCTGCAAGCTTAAACATTTACTGTGTAGCCCTTTAGAGCAAAGATGCGCCTGTCCCTGCCTTATACCAAGGGTCTCTGACATCCACCCGGAGAAACCTACCTCTCAGGGTCCCCACAGCCTGGATTCCCCCTATAGGTCTCTGCCTCCCAGAGTAGGTGGCCCTGGCCCTGTGAAACCCGGCCCAGGGGTCCCCAGGTCTGCGACCTCAATCCTTAGTGCCGAACACCTCCCGCCATGAACGTCCCAATCAGGCCCCCCTCAGCCCCAGAGTCCCCGTACTTCATCCCTAGTCCCGGCAGCCCCAATCCCAGCCCCAGCCCGGCACCTTTGGTGACACAGCTCAGGACGCCTCCGGAGGGCTGGCACACCTGGCCCGGCTTGCAGCTGTGTTCCTGGCACACCATGCCTTTACCCGCGTGGCAGGTGCACTGCTGCCGACAGTTGTCAATGAGGACCCTCTGCTCCGGCTGTGGGGAGAGAGGGCACGGCCATCAGGGACACCACGGGTGGGAGCCGACTCTCACATCTCTGGTGTTCTGGGCACAGAGGGGTTTGGCAGACATCACAGACAAGGAGCAGCTCTCAGCAGGGTGGTTCCTGGTCTGTGAAACTGACGCACAGTTTCACAGACAACTGTGATTGGGCCGTCATTCATTCATTCATTCATTCATTTGTTCATTCACTTTCATTCATTTAGTCATTCATTCCAAAATATCCACTGAATGTCTGCAGTAGGAGAAATGGTGTGACACAGTAACTCAGACCAGATCGCCTGGGCTTGAAGCCTGTTTCTGCTGTTTCCAAACTGTGTGACTCTGGGCAAGTGACCTCATCACTTTCCCACTGCCACGTGGAGGGTGGACCAGAGGGAGCAAAGGTAGGAAGCTGGGAGGGACCCAGGTGGAAGAGGACAGGTTGGACCAAGGTAGGGCCATGGAGAGGGGGAAAGGGGTAGATGGAAGAGACACTGAAGAGGCCAAGTACACCAGCCGTGGTGGCTCATGCCTGTAATCCCAGCACTTTAGGAGGCCAAGGCGGGCGGATCTCTCAAAGTCAGGAGTTTGAGACCAGCCAGACCAACGTGGCAAAACCCCGTCTCCACCAATAATACAAAAATTTAGTCGGGTGTGGTGGCACACAGCAGTACTCTCAGCTACTCGAAAGGCTGAAGCAGGAGAATTGTGTGAACCCGGGAGGTGGAGGTTGCACTCCAGCCAGGGCGACAGAGCGAGACTATGTGTTAAAAAATAAATAAATAGGTAAAAGAGGCTGAGCGAGCCAGGCGGGGTGGCTCATGCCAGTAATCCCAGCACTTTGTGAGGCCAAGACGGGAGGATGGCCTGAGGCCTGGAGTTCAAGACCAGCCTGAGCAACATCGTGAGATGCCCCCAATCTCTGCCTCAACAAAAAAATAAAAAATTTGCTGGGCATGGCGGTTAGTCCCAGATACTTGGCAAGTGAAGTGGAAGGATTGCCTGAGCCAAGGAATTGGGCGTTGCAGTGAGCTATGATGGTGCCACTGCACTCCAGCCTGGGTGACAGAGTGAGACCCTGCCTCTAAAAGAAATAAATAAGCACCCAAGTAGACAGGCTGCGGGGCTGATGGGCAGTGGGAGGGGTGAGGCCCCATGTTCTGGCCCCGATGACTAGGTTCCTACCTCGTAGTAGACACCATTGTGGTAGCAGCCACATTGCCCGATGGGCACACAGGCTTGGCCGTTGTAGAGGAAGCCGGAGTCGCACTGACAGCCCTCGGCACATCCATCCGGACACTGCAGAGGGGCGCTGATTGCGGAGCAGCCCAGGGAGCAGGTGTCCGCGCAGAGCTCGTAGTGACTGTTCGAGGGGCACTTCATGGCTGTAAGGAGGGGGTGCCGATCAGAGCCCTGGGGAGGGAGGGGCTGCAAGGCCCAGGGTCTACCCCTCCTGTGACTCAACCTCTCCCCTCCTTGCCCCTCCGTCTCTCCCTCACTCACGACAGAAAGTTTCGGTCCTCCAGGGCTCCACGTGGCCTCCAGCTGCCTGGCAAGCACTCACATAGGCATGGATGTTGTCGCAGAGAATGCTCAGGTTCCCACCACCCAGGCACAGATCAAAGACACAGTCTTGCAAGGGACCCTGGGGATCCACCAGCTTGTGGCAGGAGGCCAGCGGCCCTGTGGGGCTGGTGAGGAGCCCACAGAACTCCTTCTTCTGATACTTGTCCTCCAGCTCGGGAGGACACTGGCTGTCAGGGTTGCAGCCCTCACTCCCCGGCTGGCAGGTGGGCGGCGGCAGGCAGGGAGAACCAGGCACGGCCTCCTCCCAGGAGTTGCCGAACTCCTTGGCGTTGCCTGCCTGCGAGCCATCGGGCTTCCTCAAGTCATCCTTGGGGTCGCCGTTGTAGTCCCCGCACAGGCCGCACATCTGCTGGTAGTAGTTTCCGGGGACGGTGACCCGCACATAGTACACAAGGTCGTAGACCACACGCAGGCCGAAGTGTGTCTCAATCACAGCGTTGGAACCATGCTTGTAGACACGGATCTGGCCATTGGCCAGCACCACGGGCAGCTTCATGTCCACGCCGTTCACCTGGGAGAGGCAGGCCGTGCTTCAGAAAGGAAACTTTGAGTGGGGGTCGGACTCTGGTTCAAGCCCATGCCTGAGGCAGAAGATCTGTGTGACCTCACCTTAAGAGGTGAGGCCCCTTATGGCCCTCAGATTTCATATTTGTAAAATGGGTGTAATAATAGGGTCTTATAATGGATTGAATGGTGGTCCCCAAAAGTCATATTCACTCAGAATCCTATAACGTGAGCTCACTTGCAATAAAGTTCTTTGCAGCTGTAATCAGAGTAATCATCTGGATATGAGATTATCCCCGATTAAGGTGGGTCCTAAATGCAATGACAAGTGTCCTTGTAAGAGCCAGAAGGAAAAAGACACACACACAGACACACAGAAAGGGCCATGTGAAAATGAAGGCAGGGATTAGAAAGGTGTTGTCACAGGCCAGGCACGGTGGCTCATGCCTGCAATCCCAGCACTTTGGGAGGCCGAGGCGGGCAGATCAGGAGGTCAAAGGATTGAGATCATCCTGGCCAACATGGTAAAATCCCGTCTCTACTAAAAATACCAAAATTAGCCGGGCATGGTGGCAGGTGCCTGTAATCCCAGCTACTGGGGAGGCTGGGGCAGAAGAATCGCTTGAACCCAGGAGGCAGAGGTTGCAGTGAGCCGAGATCATGCCACTGCACTCCAGCCTGGTGACAGAGTGAGACTCTGTCTCAAAAACCAAAGAATGATGTTATCACAAGCCCAGAGAACCTGGAGCCTCCAGAGCTGGAAAGGGAAAGGGAGAACCCCCCACCAGTGCCTTTTGAGGGCGTGCAGCCCTGCCAACACCTTAAAGAAAGGGTGGAGACTGAGGGACACAGAGATGGGGGAGCAGGTCCCAAGACCCTGATGACACTTCCGTCCTTGGCTTCCCGCTCTGGGCTCTGACTGGCATCGTTTGTCCTCAGGGACCCCAGGCCTCCCACATGCACTCTCATCTCTGTGCCCCCAAATCCTGGGCTGAGCCCTCCCCGTGCCCCACCCACCCAACCACAAGCCCCTCACCCCAGCTCCCCATTGCTCTCACCGTGACCTTCCACTGTCTCTGCTCCAGCCGCAGGGTGAAGTTTGCCACCTGGACCGTGATCACCCGGGTCACACTGACTTGCCCATTACCCCAGGCCACGTTCTCCTGCAGGACGGCAAACGAGTGCAGCCCAGGCCGGGTGGTGCCGCAGGTCTGAGCCAGCACATACACGCAGGTGCCCATGAAGTCGAAGCGGCGGCCGTCGAAGGTGGTGTAGTGGGGGTCTCCCGACGCCTGGCAGGTGGCAGAGCCCACGGCCACACAGCCCAAGCTGCCACCAGACAGCTGGCAGGCCTCATGTGGGCCACAGGTAGAGGGCTCACAGGACACCAGGCCGCCCTCCTGGCAGTGGCAAAGGGAATCACAGCCGGGGCCCGGGTAGAAGGTCTGGCCTGGTGGGTGGTAGGTGCCCTGGTGGATGCAGCCACAGGAGGCCAGGGGCACACAGGACTCACCACTGAGTGCAAAGCCCTCATCGCACACACAGCCCTCATGGCATTCGGAACCACAGCCCCCGGGCACTGGGAGGTCTCCACAGGACAGCGGGCAGCCGTAGGAACACACCTCATAGTGGCTGTGGGCTGGGCAGCTCAGTGCTGCAGGGAGAAGGGACATCAAGATCAAGAATTCCTGCTCCCAGGGGACACCGGCGACCCCCCCCCAACACACATGTATGCATACCCACACATGCTCAAACACACACACAAGTTGCAGGGAGCTTGGGAACATACTACATCACAGTTAATCTGATCTTCATAATTACAATTCTCCCAATTGAACTGTGATTTGCAGTCATGTATTATGCCTCTTTATTTTTTTTGAAATAGGTTTTGCTCTGTTGCTCAGGCTGGAGCAGCACGGCGGTGCTTGCTCCCGGGGCTCACTGCAGCCTTGACCTCCTGGACTCGAGCAATCCTCCCACCTCAGCCTCCTGAGCAGCTGGGACTACAGGTGTGCATCAGCACACCCGGCTAATTTTTTGAATTTTTTGTAGAGATGGGGTCTCGCTGTGTTGCCCAGGCTGGCCTCAAACTCCTGGGCTCAAGCAGTTCCCCTGCCTCAGCCTCTCAAAGTGCTGGGATTACAGGAATGAGCCGCCACGCCCAGCCTTCTATTATGTCTTTAATGACCTTGTTCAAGTTGGATACAGGTTGTTGATATGTGGTATGTATTTTAAACATGCATATGCAAAACGAAAATTAAAAAAGAAAAAACATGTATATGCATATATTTGTGTGTATGTGTATAATTTGTGCAGTATATGTGTGAATGCAGTACTTTTAGCTTCTTCCTTCTACAGCAGTAATTAAATTAAAATATTTAGCAAGTGTTGAAAAAAAAAAAAAAAAAAAACTCCCTGCTCCCCTCCCCAAACTCCAGTCACTCCAGTCTATAAAAAGCAAATCTAGCCAGGGGCAGTGGCTCCAGACCAGCCTGGCCAACACAGTGAAACCCTGTCCCTACTGAAAATACAAAAATTAGCCAGGTATGGTGGCAGGTGCCTGTAATCCCAGCTACTAGCGGAGCTGAGGTAGGAGAATCGCTTGAACCTGGGAGGCGGAGGTTGCGGTGAGCTGAGATCATGCCACTGCACTCCAGCCTGGTGACAGAGCGAGACTCTGTCTCAAAAAAAAAAGCGAATCTAAGTGACTAAAACTGAACCACATTAAACCTGTATCTATGCTGTCTAACACACTTGCCACTAGCCACTTGTGACCATTTAGATGTAAGTTAATTAAAATGAAACAAAGTGGAAGACAGTTCCTCAGTCAAAACAGCCTCATTTCAAGTGTTCAGCAGCCACATGTGACCTGTGGCAACCTGGTACGTATTTGAACAGCTCAGATATGGAGCTGTCATCATTGAAGTTCTGCTGGGTGGCGCCGTTGTGAAGCTAACATCCAGCTTACAGGAGAATCAAGGGGACACAGAGACAAGTTCAGTAACACTCCAAAGAAGCAACTAGCCAGATCACGAAAGTAGGAAATTCGGCAGGATAAATGATCTGTCTTTTCCAATAAATAAATAAATGACATAAACAAAAGGAAAAGATGGATGGAGGAACAGATATGTGATAAAGCAAGTAAGTGAATTAGAATTAGAGTGTAGAGGCCCGGCTCGGTGGCTCATATCCGTAATCCCAACACTTTGCGAAGATGAGGCGAAAGAATCACTTGAGGTCAGGAGTTCGAGACCAGCCTGGCCAACATGGTGAAACCCGTTTCTACTAAAAATACAAAAATTAGCCAGGCATGGTGGCACACGCCTTTAATCCCAACTACACAAGAGGCTGAGGTAGGAGAATCGCTTGAACCCAGGTGGCGGAGGTTGCAGTGAGTTGAGACCACACCACTGCACTCCAGCTTGGACAACAGAGTGAGACTCCGACTCAAAAAAAAAAAGAAAAAAACACAAAAAAAAAAAAAAAAAAAAAAAAAAAAAAAGAATTAGAGTGTAGAGTCCAGGAGGTGGGTTTGTGGATCTTCCCTGTAAAATTCTTTCAACTTTTTTGTATATTTCACAATTTTCGTAATGTTGGGAAGAACTAAAGAAAGAAATTCTGACAGAGTAAAAGCATGAAGGTAGATCAATCCAATGCAGCATGTGTATTTGGTTTGCTTCCAGAGCCACTTAGGGTCTTATAGTGTCAGGAATTTCTAAAACTTCTTATATCTTTTATAAGAAGTCTGTTTTGTCCCAGGAGGTTTCACACCCCAGGGCAACACACCTTGTGTTAGGATTCAGGATGGGTGGGGATTGCACTGTTTTTTATTTATTTATTATTTATTTTATTTTTTGAGACAGAATCTCACTCTGTCGCCCAGGCTGAAGTGCAGCACGATCTCGGCTCGCTGCAACCTCCACCTTCCAGGTTCAAGCGATTCTTCTGCTTCACCCTCCCAAGTAGCTGGGAATACAGGTACCCGCCATCACACCCGGCTAATTTTCAGTATAGACGAAGTTTTGCCATGTTGGCCAGGCTGGTCTCAGACTACTGGCCTCTGATGATCCCCTACCTCACCCTCCCAAAGCGCTGGGATGACAGGCATGAGCCCCCACACTCAGCCTGCACTGTTAATCAGAAATAGGCTCTTGCTATGTTGCTCAGGCTGGTACCTAACTCCCAGCCTCTAGGGATCCTCCCACCTCAGCCTCCTGAGTAGCTAGGATTATAAACATTCTGAAATCTTAGTCATATATGTGTATGTTTGCGGCACAGAAGTGTGATGGGGATTCTGACGCAGGCTGCCAATGGCCACGTCTTGACTCTGGGCACAACCATGGTACTTGCTTTGGCCAATGGAACACGGGCAACCATGATGCTGAGCTGAGCCTTGGAACGTGCTTGCACACTGGGGCTTGTGTGCTTTTGCTGCTCTTAGGAATCTTGAGAGCACCTTGGGAAGAAGCTTGGGTTCACCCGCTTGAAGATGAGACCAAGTGGAGCAGAGACAACAAGTCCCAGCTGAGGGCCCCCAAAACCAACCAGCTGGACAACTGCCAGATGTGTAAAACGCCCCCTAGATTTACCCAGCCTCAGCTGAGCCTCCAACAGACTGCAGACACCAACCAAGCTGGCCCAGGCTGGGGAGAACACCTCAGCAGCCCCTGGCATCATGAGAAAGAATAAATACTTGGCCAGGCGTAGTGGCTCACGCCTGTAATCCCAGCACTTTGGGAGGCTGAGGTGGGTGGATCACTTGCCGTCAGGAATTCGAAACCAGCCTGGCCAACGTAGTGAAACCCCTTCTCTACTAAAATTACAAAAAAATTAGCCAGGTGGGGTGGCAGGTGCCTGTCATCCCAGCTACTCGGGAGGCTGAGTCAGGAGAATTGCTTGAGCCCGGGAGGTGGAGGTGGAGGTGGAGGTTGCAGTAAGCCGAGATTGCGCCACTGCACTCCAGCCTGAACGACAGAGCAAGACTTCATCCCAAAAAGAAAAGTTCTTAAAGTCAAAACTTACCATTTGTTAGACATTATAAGTTTTGTAATTATTTCAGGTAAAAAACTAGATGTGTATGCTTCCATTAATTCCAAAATGTAAAAACTTCAGAAGCCAGAATGGTGGTTACCTCTTGGGGTTGGAGGCCTGGATGTTCTTTTTTTGAATTTGGGACTGTTCACACAGATTTGTTCTCTTGCTAAAACTGATCAAGCTGTTAGCTTATGATATGTACATATTTTTGAATATCTGTGTATTTCAATAATAAGTTTTAAAAATTAAAAATCAGGTGAGAGGAACCTGGTACAGTGGCTCACGCCTGTAACCCCAGTACTTTGAAAGGCGGAGGCAGGAGGATTGCTTGAGCCCAAGAGTTCGCACCCAGCCTAGGCAAAAAATCAAAACCCTGTCTCTGTAAAAAATATTTTAAAAATTAGGTGCTCGCTTCGGCAGCACATATACTAAAATTGGAACGATACAGAGAAGATTAGCATGGCCCCTGCGCAAGGATGACACGCAAATTCGTGAAGCGTTCCATATTTAAAAAAAAATAAATAAATAAATAAATAAAATAAAAATAAAAATAAAAATTAGCTGGGGTTGGTGCTACTCAGGAGGCTGAGGCAGGAGGATCACTTGAGCCCAGGAGTTCCAGGCCGCAGTAAACTATGATTGCATCACTGCATTCCAGCCTGGGCAACAGAGCAAGAGCCCATCTTAAAACAAAATCAGATGGAGCACTTTGGAAGGCTGAGGTGGGTGGATCATGACATCAGGAGTTCGAGACCAGCCTGACCAACATGGAGAAACCCTATCTCTACTAAAAATACAAAATCAGCCGGGCATGGTGGCGCATACCTGTAATCTCAGCTGCTCAGGAGGCTGAGTCAGGAGAATTGCTTGAACCCAGGAGGCAGAGGTTGCAGCGAGCTGAGATTGTGCCACTGCACTCCAGCCTGGGTAACAAGAGCAAAACTCCATCTCAAAAAAGAAAAAAAAATCAGGTGAGAGGATGCATGGCTTTTCAAACTTGTTTTCTTGGCAAACAAAAACATTGGAAGACCAATCATGCAGCCTCCACTGAGACAAGGCTCTCAAACAGACTGCCCAAGGGGTCAGGCAGATGTAAATAAATGAAGTAGGATAGATGGAGACCAAAAAGAACCAGAGAGGGGATGAGACTCCTAACGACAATACTGCTGCTCATATCTCAATGACAGCTGTTATATGGGAATCAGATCCTGGGCCACCAGGCGTACTGCCATTTTTCAAATACCAGCTGCATGCCTGCCATCTGTGACTTTCTAGCTATCATGATCTCAGGCATGTAACTGAAACTTTCTGAACCTCAGTTTCTTCATCTGTTAAATTAGGTACAATATAAAACCTACATCAAAAGCTATGATCATAGCTCACTTCCTAGTACTTTGGGAAGCTGAGGCGGAGAGGGTGGATTGAGCCCAGGAGTTGGAGACCAGACTAGGCAACAATCCCTACCTCACAGGGCTATTGTAAGGATTAAATGGGCAGGGCGAGGTGGCTCACGCCTGTAATCCCAGCACTTTGGGAAGCCGAGGTGCGTGGATCACCTGAGGTCAGGAGTTTGAGACCAGCCTGACCAATCTGGAATCCCATCTCTACTAAAAAAAAAAACAAATTTAGCCGGGCATGGTGGTGTGAGCCTGTAATCCCAGCTACTTGGGAGGCTGAAACAGGAGAATCGCTTGAACCCGGGAGGCGGAGGTTGCAGTGAGCAGAGATGGCGCCATTGCACTCCAGCCTGGGCAACAAGAGCGAAAAGAGTGAAACTCTCAGAAAAAAAAAGGATTAAATGAATTAATGACATTTATACACTAATGAATATATATATAAGGTTGAGTACCCCAGTTGCGATACTCACGGCAAAGTTCCTCACTCCTCCAGGGGTGCACTGTGGCTCCAGCAGCCTGGCAGGCAGCAGTGTAGGTGGCCAGCGCATCACACAGTGGCCCAGACTGGCCTGGCAGCAGGCAGCGGTCATAGACACAGTTGCGCACGGCACCCTGGGGGTCCAGCTTGCTGTGGCACTCCCGGAAGGGCCCCTCGGGGTCAGCAAGGATTCCACACTCTTTCTTGCTCTGCAGCTGCTGGGTCACCAGGGAGTCCAGCTTGGGACAGTCACCTGGTTCAGTTGCTCCACAGCCGGGCCTCGTTTCTTCTTGCCAGCTGTTCCCAAAGGCCAGTGCATTGGCAGCTTGGCCCCCACCCCGCAGAGCCAGGTCATCAGCTGGGTCCCCGTTGAAGTTTCCGCAGAGTCCACACAGGGCCTCAGCATAGCTGCTGGGCACCTTGACAGTCACTCGTGCATCCCAGTTGTAGGTGACGGTCAGGCCAAAGTCGGTGCGCACGACGGCGTCACGACCCTGGCGGAACACCTGCACCTGCCCATCTGCTGCTTGGAAGGGCAGGTACTGAAGGACGCCATCCACCTGGGTGGTGATGCAAGAGGGCCATGTGGTCAGGGTATTCACGGCTCGCTGGCCCATCCTCCAATTCACTCACCTCCAGCTGCCCTGACCTCCTTGCTATTCTCTTGGACACATTATGCTCAGTCCCACCTCAAGGCCTTTGCACTTCCTGTTCCCTCTGCCTGACTCATCATTCAACCCTCTTCATTCCTAAAGCACCAGCTTAAATCCAAGTCCCTCACCCGTGGCCTTCAAAATATATGTGATCTGTCTGTCTCCCCATTACCTCCCTTGCCTCGCCTCTTCTCACTGTCCCTCTCACTCAGGCTGCTGCTATCATGCTAGCTTCCTTTTATTTATTTATTTATTTTTATTATTTTTTACAGGGTCTCACTCTGTCACTCAGGCTGGAGTGCAGTGGCACAATATCGGCTCCCTGCAAACTCTGCCTCTGGGGTTCAAGCTATTCTCCTGCCTCAGCCTCCGGAGTAGCTGGGATTATTACAGGCATGAGCCACTGCATCTGGGTTTTTGTTTGTTTGTTTGTTTGTTTGTTTGTATTTTTAGTAGAGAGAGGGTTTCACCATGTTGGCTAGGCTGGTCTTGAACTCCTGACCTCAGGTGATCCACCCACTTCGGCCTCCCAAAGTGCTGGGATGACAGGCTGGAGCCACCGTGCTCCGCCTCTGGCTTCCTTTTTAAAATAGAGACGGGGTCTCACTCTGTCACCCAGGCCAGAGTGCAGTGATGCGATCATAGCTCACTTCCTAGCACTCTGGGAAGCTGAGAAGGGAGGGTGGCTTGCACCCAGGAGTTGGAGACCAGCCTGGGCAACGTAGTGAGATCCTGTTCTCCACAAGAAGGAAAAATGAAAAAGAAAAAAATTTTAAATTTTCTAACAGACCTCCCCACCCCCAGCCCCACTCAGAGCTCCAAGTACTCAGAGGGTGTTTCCTGCCCCGACACCCAGCCCTGAGCACCCGCGTCGCTCACCAGCACTTGCCCCGGGTACTCCCGGCGCACCGCCACCTTCACCCCGCGGGCCTCCACCCGCACGGCGCGCGTGTAGCTCACGGTCTGGCTGCCCCGATGCTCGTTCTCCACCAGCACCCGGAAGGCAGGCAGCGCCGCGTTCTGGCCGCACGAGCCGACCAGCAGGTACGTGCAGGTGCCCATAAAGTCGAAGCGCCGGCCGTCGAAGCTCACGTAGTGCGGATCCCCGGACCCCTGGCAGGTCCCGAAGCGGTCGGGGTAGCAGCCCAGGAGGCCGTTCTGGACGCTGCAGCGCTCGCCCGCCGGGCAGCCCTTCGTGTCGCGGCAGGTCACCTGCTGGGTGGTGGTGCCGCTGCAGGTGCAGCGCCTTTGGCACAGCTCGTCCGCCCACACCTCCTGGCCCGGAGCGAGCAGGAGGCCCTGGAAGGTGCAGCCGCACGACGAGGCCGGCACGCAGGCGCCGCCGCTGGCCACGAAGCCCGGGAGGCACACGCAGCCCTCCACGCACGGGCGCCCGGAGCAGTTGGACGGCGCCGCAGCCCCGTTGCAGGAGGCCGGGCAGGCGGGGCCGCAGAGCTCGTAGCGGCTGTTGGCGGGGCAGGTCAAGGCTGCGGGGAGATTGGAGATGGTGGGTCAGGCCGGCGCCGCCGGGGCCGTCGAGGGGCCCCCGTCCGCGACAGCGCCCAGGAATTCCCCCCCACAACGTGCTCTTCTCTCAGAGTTCGCCATCTCAGATAATGGCACTTCCATCCCTCTGGGCGCTCCTGCGCCCCATCCAGGAGATGCAGTTAATCTCCACCCCACCAGCCCCCTAAAGCTCACTGGACAACCCATCTGTCGGCAAGTCCTGTGAGCTCCATATTCAAAATCTACCCAGCCTAACCAGGTCTGGTGGAGCATGCCTGTAATTCCGGCTACCTGGGAGCCTGAGGCAGGAGAATTACTTGAACCCGGAAGGCAGAGGTTGCATTGAGCCTATATTGTCCCAGCCTGGGTGACAGAGCAAGGCTCTGTCTCAAAAAAAAAAAAAGAAAGAAAGAAAAAAAAGAAAAGAAAAGAAAAGAAAAGAAAAGAAAAGAAAGAAAGAAAGAAAGAAAGAGAGAGAGAAAGAAAGAAAAAAAATCCACCCAGTTACAGAATCTGCCTCTGGTCCTATGCACCCCAGCAGCCTCCTGCCTGGGCTCCCTCCTGCCCCTACAGCCTGTTCCTCACACCAGCCAGAGGGATCTGGGAACATCTGGGTCAGATCAGGTCCCTCCCCATCTCAGAGCCCTCCTGTGGCTTCCTCTCACTCAGGGTAAACACCACAGTCCTCCCCATGCTCCAGGAGGCCCTGTGCCATCCGCTCCTCTCACCTCTCGGCCGTCACCCCCTCTCCCTCTCCCTCGTGCTCATTCTGCCCCAGCCCCAGCTTCGTCCTCCTCCCTGGTCATCCAGCTCCAACCTCAGGGCATTTGTATTGGCTGTTTCCTCTGCCTTCCCTTTCCTCAGAAAGCCCACTGGGGCCCAGGTGGCCTGGGTTCAAATCCCAGATCTCTCCTTCTCAACCACTGACTCCAATCTCCACATGCCTCAGTTTCCCCATCAGTAAGATGGGCTAATATGGTCCAGACCTCACAAGGTTGTTGTGGGGATTAAATGAGTTGATCTCTGGAGAAACATTCTGTGGACATTACTGTTAGTACTTAGCTGACTCTGTTGCCTGACCCTGGTCTCAGCTCCAATGTCACCTGCCCAGAAAGGCATTCCCTGATCACCCTCTTCATGAGCCTCCCAGTCACTGTCACTGCATGAACTTGTTTCTTTGACTCTCTGAAGATACTTTCTAGTTTATCTGCTCACTGTCTGTCCCTCCCCTCCCACTAGGAGATAAGTTCTACAGGAGTGGGGACCTGGTCTGTCTCAATCGCTGCTGAGTCCTCAGCACCAAGGACAGGGCCTGGCGTACAGCAGGTGCTCAGGAAATACTGCAGAAATGAATGGGAGGAAGAATGAACTCTCTGGTTCCCATTTCATACCAGCCATGGGGTGGGGGTGGGGGGCTTACTGGGCAGTAGGGACAGAGCACTGGCCAAGACAAACGCCCAGTGGCCTCTATGTCTCCCTCATACTTACTCCCCGTCCCTTGGGCCTGGGGCTGGGCCTGAATGCCTCCTCCTCCCTCCTGCCTGTCCTTTCTGCCTCTGGGGCATGTCTCTAGGAGCCTCACTGACAAGGGCAGGAATAGATCTATGCTGATCCTTACTGTGTCTTCAATATCATCAGCATGAAAGGGGGGGCAGGTAGGGGTTCAAGGAATGCTTGGGGAATGAATGAGTGAATGATTAAGCAGATGGACATCTGGCTATAGAGCCTGGACTTTATCTAGAGGGCAATGGGAGTCATGGGAGGGTTACAGGCAAAGGAAGAGACGTCCGCTTGCCTGTGTTGGGATTCTGCAGACAGGAATTCCTGTCGTGCCAAGCCTTTGAGCGTGCTGTTCTCTGGGCCTGCATCTCACTTCCTCCTCTTTCTCTTGGCAACTTCCAGCCCCTCCTATGGGTTTCAAATTAGACATCCCTTTCTCTAGAAAACTCTCCCTGCCCACCCCTGCTCCCCAGAAGGCTTCTCTTGTTTCCCATAGCCCCAATAACTTCCTCCATCCTGGCCCATACCCCTATGCCTATGCCCCCCACAATCTCAGCCCTAACTCATCTGCCTATGCCTCCCCCATCCTGGCCCCAACCCCTCTGCATGGGCCTTCCCATCCTGCCTGGAACCCTCCAGACTTTTAGTGTCTGGTGAAACATCTTCTCCAACCTTAGGCTCGTTGTGGACAGAGCTGGCCGTCTTCACCATCACTGGGCCCCTAGCATTGCCCAGCACCAGGCTGAACCACAATAACTTCTCCGATATTAAGTAGATGCCAAGGGTCCCCTGCCCCTCACTGTATGCTCCCAACCCCCACCCAGGGCATCACTCACGGCAGTTGGCTGGTGGCCTCCAGTCCCCAACCGAGATGCCAAGCTCCAGACAGGCCTGGGCATAGGCGCTGAGGCCACGGCACAGGCTGGGCCGATCCCCACCAATCACGCACAGGTCGTATACACACTGCTCCAGGAAGGGTCTGGGGTCCAGGGTGTCATGGCAGACAGCGAAGGGGCCGTCAAGTTTGGTCAGCATGCCGCAGAGTCGGTCACCCTCATAGTGCTGGGCCTGGCCTGGGGTGCAGGTGGGACAGTTGTTCTGGCAGCCATCCTCACACAGGTAGTCCCCATCATCCAGCTTCCAGCTACTTGCAAACTCCACGGGGTCAGCAGCCTGATCCCCGTCAGGCATGAAGAAGTCGTCCGCTGGGTCACCATTATAGTTGCCACACAGCCCGCACACCTGGTCTTGGAAGCGTGTGGGCAGGCTGAGTGCCAGCTGGCAGTCCCAGTCATAAGTGACCACCAGCCCGAAGACCAGCTCCACCACGGCCCGTGGCCCGCTCTGGTACACACGCAAGCGACCCTCACTCAGGGAGACTGGCAGGCGCGAGCGCTGGCTGTCAATCTGCAGAGCAGGTGAGGAGGGGGTGGTCAGGCCCCTGTGCCATCTGGCCTCCAGCCCTCATCTCTGGGCCTCCCGCCTGCTCCCCTGCTCCCGTGGCACTGGGACTCATTCTTTCTGTTACTGCCACCATCAGAGACCTTGCCTCTTGCAGTATCTGTGGCCTGAGACGTTCTTTCTGGAGATGTACACATGACTCACTCCCGTACCTCCTATAAAATATTTGCTCAAATATCACTGATTCAGGCTTTCCCTGGCTGCCCTATTTTGTTTTAATTTTTTATTTTTTTATTATTTATTTATTTTGAGACAGAGTCTCGATCTGTCATCTAGCTGTAGTGCAGTGGTGTGATCTCTACTCCCTGCAACTTCCGCCTCCTGGATTTAAGCAATTCTCTACCTCAGCCTCCTGAGTAGCTGGGATTACAAGCCCCTGCCACCATGCCTGGCAAATTTTTGTATTTTCAGTAGAGACGGGGTTTCACAATCTTGGCCAGGCTGGTCTTGAACTCTTGACCTCGTGATCCACCTGTCTCAGCCTCCCAAAGTGCTGGGATTACAGGCGTGAGGCACTGCACCCAGTCTTATTTTATTTTTATTTTTTTTATTTTATTTTTTTTTTTTGAGACGGAGTTTCACTCATGTTGCCCAGGCTGGAGTGCAATGGCGCGATCTCGGCTCACCGCAACCTCCGCCTCCTGGGTTCAGGCAATTCTCCTGCCTCAGCCTCCTGAGCGGCTGGGACTACAGGCACGCGCCACCATGCCCAGCTAATTTTTTGTATTTTTAGTAGAGACGGGGTTTCACCATGTTGACCAGGATGGTCTCGATCTCTTGACCTCGTGATCCACCCGCCTCGGCCTCCCAAAGTGCTGGGATTACAGGCTTGAGCCACCGCGCCCGGCCTTATTTTTATTTTTATAGAGACAAGGTCTTGCTATGTTGTCCAGGATGGTCTCAACTCCTGGCCTCAAGCAATCCTCCTGCCTCAGCCTCCCAAAGTGCTGGGATTACAGGCATGACCCACAAGACCTAGCCAACAACCAACTTTAAATGGTAGCCTTGGGCCAGGCGCTGTGGCTCACACCTGTAATTCCAGCACTTTGGAAGGCTGAGGTGGGTGGATCACTCGATGTCAGGAATTTGAGACCAATGGTGAAACGCTGTCTCTACTAAAAATACAAAAATTAGCTGGGTGCGGTGGTACACACCTGTGATCCCAGCTATTCAGGTGGCTGAGGCCGAAGAATTGCTTGAACCCAGGAGGTGGAGGCTGCAGTGAGCCAGCATCGCACCAAAAAGAGTGAGACTCTATCTCAAAAAAATAAATAAATAAATAAAGCAGCGTCTCCCTACTCCTTACCCTCCTTCCTTCCTTTCCTTGTTTTCTATAGTGTCTGCCCTTCTAAAACATAATTCACGAATTGACCATGTTTATCATCTGTCTTACTCCATCAGAATGGCAGCTCCACAGAGACAGGGGTTTGGGTCTGCTTTGATTGCTGCTTTATTCCCAGTGCATAGAACAGGACCTGGTAGAATCACAGGCACTCACTAGCTGAATGAAGTCACTGCTGCATCTAATAACATTCACTGAGCATGCACTCTGTGGCTGGTCGTGGGCTGGGAGATCCTGAGAATACGAAGGTGACCAAGGCAGCCCCAGGTCCCACCCTCATAGGGCTCCCAGTCCATTCAGATAAACAGACCCATCACCAGACAGTGCGAGTTCAGAGGGGTCAGGGCTAAGAGGAGAAAAGCACAGGCAGAAGAGTCAAGGCCAGGATCAGAAAGGCCAGGCAGAGGGGTGAAGGGTGGGATAGGGGAGGGTTCAGAGCTGGGGTAGCGGGGAGATGGGAGGCTGTGAAAACCTAGAAAAACAGCCAGATCTAACGTTGCTGGTCAGAGAAGGCTTCCCAGAGGAAAGAACAGTTGTGCTAAGCCTTAAAGGACCAGTAAGGGAGAGAGAGAGCCAGGAAAACCGGGAGGAGGTAGGATATTCCGGGGCACGTGTCCTGAGTGGACAGAGATCCCGGCCGGTTCGTCTGGCTTTGTGTCTCCTGCAAAGCCCACGTGTTGAAATCTTAGCCCCCAACATGATCGTATTAACAGTGGGGGGAGGCCTCTGGGAGGTGATTAGGTCATGAGGATGGCACCCTCATGAATGGGATTAGCGCCCTTATGACACAGGCCTCAGAGAGCTCTCGAGTTCTCTTTCCACTGTGTGAGGATACAAGAAGTAAGCCATCTGCAACCCGGAAGAGGGCCCTCGCCTGAGCCTGGCGGCGCTGCTGCCCTCATCTGGGACTGCCAGCCTCCAGAACTGTGAGAGACAAGGTTGCGTTGTTTGTAAGCCTCCCAGGCTCTGGTATTACAGCAGCCTGAAGTCTAAGAACCAGGAGAAAAGAACTGTGTCTCTTTGTGCCCCTGGGCATCTCTCTTTTTTTTTTTTTTT